CAGAAACTACCTGACCATCTCAACTATCACAGAACAGGATGAGGCACCAATAGACATTACACATGGGTACTGTACCACACTGTCTGTGCAATTAACCCCATACAAACCACTGACAGAACAGGAAGGTTGTGCCATTTTGGTGTCACAGATCACATAGGACACACCCAAAGGGCAGAGCAAGGGGCTCCACTAAGAATTTTCAGCAGGACCTAACATGACAGGACAGTGGAGGTCAAAGTATATTTGGCCATCCTGTCCTCACTAGGAAACATTTTTTCAAAGTATTAAAATTCTAACACTCTGTTTAACACATCGATTTTTTTTTCTTTTAAAGCTGTATCTGGTTTGCACAGATAGAAGAAAGCCTGTTCTTTGCTCTCTCCTTCTCCACCTCTCTCTCTCTCTGCACTCTTCCTCCTCTTGGGGGACCCGAGGGAGCAGTTTCTAACAGCCACATAATATTCCTGACAGAAAGAGCCTGTTCAAGAACCGACATGGTAGATACCACACTACAGGAGGAAAAAGGTGGGCAAGAGCAGCAGTGCCCTGCCTGTGGGTGGGAGGAATGTACCTAAAGGCAGAGCCAGAGCCTGAAGTGCCAGGAAGGGGCAAGAGGCAAGGAAAAGCATCTTAAAGCCACAGTGAAGTTAACAGCAGAGGCAATTTGCCCAAAGGCGCTTTTAAAAACCACAGGAAAAGATTTATGTTTTCCCTGTGTAATGTGGCTTTTCCCCCTTTTCCAAATAAACTAAGTTAACAACAATGTTTTGACTATTTTCAAGCACGTTCTGGAAAGTCACCTCCCCTCGACCTACCCAGACAGAAGTTCCTAAATGTTTGAGTCCACAGCTCCTGAGAGCACATGCCAAAGAGCTGGGTGGCCACGCCACACTGGCTCCTGTCCAGTGTTTTCAAGTTGTGCTGAAATACAGTTGAAAACGTTAAATATTCTCCTAATATTTTTGATACAAACAATCCCTACAGCTGTCGGGAGGATATTTCAGTTGCAGAGGGGAGGGCACGTGGCCAGGAGACACTTTGTCACGAGAGGTGTCCCATATTAGAGTCCAGTCTTGAAGAGGGAAACAAATCATTCCCTATCATCACCTGCACTAACTTGACTGTGGAAAGCGTCCTTTCTGTCCATCAAGGAAATGACTACCGAAAAAAAATGACATAACCCACACAGCCTCACCTTCTCCCACTGGAGTGCTGTTAGAGCAGATAAGGACAAACACATTTGATACAGAATTTTTTTGATGCAGGGAGGTTGGATCAGATGACCTGCTGTGGTCCCTTGCAACCTTACCCATTTTGTTATTATGTGATTTTACAAACCACCAAGAAATGCACCACAGCAACCAAGCCAACACAACTAAAACCCCACTTCTGAAGTGGCATGAAAGTTCTGTACAGCAGATGGCTGACAAGGCAGCCATTTAAAAGGGGAGGAGGGGGAAAAAAAAAAAAATCTCACCCCAGAAGGCAGAAGTGCTCTCTGGCATCCTCAGATCCATGTAAAAACACGGCATGAAGCCGAACACGTCCCGAAGCACCCGCTCCTGTCCCACTGAACTTTTGACCTGCTGGCGGTAGCTGAACCCCTCCTGAGCCCATCGCCGGGTGATGCTGCAGCAGAAATTTGAAAAGAGGAGCCCTGCGCCTCGTCAGGCGCCTGCATCTGCCAGAGCCAGCATGAGGGCCAGCTGTGCCCACCCCCTCCCGAACAATGCCCAGGGTCCGGCCTGATGGATGCGCTGCTTTCTCTTTGGACACCCCTTCCCTGTAGTCTGTGGCTATGCAATGGTCCAGCAAAAAGAAAAAACAAAACATCTGCTTCCCAGGTTTCTGCCATCCAGCTGCAGACGGCAGCCCTGCACCTGGAAGCTTCACTTTCTTCTGCGCCAATAAGTAGAGGGTGAAGGGTTTGAATTTGGAAAGGGAGGGGGAAAAAAAGAAAAAGAGCTCCATGCTGCCTCTCTGTACTACCAAAGACCCCAAACTTCTCAAATACCATCAGCAAATCTGCTCAGCATGGGAGGGATGGGTCCAGATGGCCTATCATTACAGAGCCTTCCAGCTAGCTATGGACAGACCCACCAGAAGAAAAAAAAGAACGGGGTGGGGAAAGGAGAAAAAAAATAGCTACACCTTTAAAAAACAAACAAACAAACAAACAAACCCAAAACAACAGAACACCATATCAGAACACAAACATATCGGAAGATCAGTTTCTTTCCGGTTTGGGGACTGCAGAGACTGTAGCAGGGTAACCTTAACCTCACCTGCCTGCTGAAATCAGAGGGAGGGTGAGACCAGGGGATATTTGTTTTAATCAGAATTAAGGCTTGTCTAAAACTTTTGCTTTTCATAATGATGTTGTAAGAGTTTAGCACCAAACTCCCCACTGGAGAGGCACTGGTATCAGAAAAATGGAAAAAAAAGCCACTAGCCAGGATTTAAGTTCAGAGGAACTCAGACCTCCTAGGAAGAAGAGAACGTCCTCCAAGAAGAGCCAGCTGCATCCAGAGTGAGGCCATCCCTCAGAGATACTGGGCAGAGTTGGACAAACTTCAGCTGTGAAGCTTGAGGACTTTGAGCATGACCATCCTCCAGCTGAAACCCTCTGAGCCCAAGATCTCCATTTCTCCTTCCACGTACACAGATTCACTCAGAGCACCTGTTTTATTCTGCATCCAAATGGACTGGAGCAGTCACCCCTGGGTTACCCATGAGGGACAGTAACTTTTGAGGGAAGAGGCACTCACTTCTCAGACTGCTGGTGTTCAGCCACAAGCACACCTCCCCACAATAACCAAAGCTATAGCAAGAAAATATCACTTGCAGATGAGCACAGTTTTAATTTTTGATGGCTGTCTAGTGTTTTATTTCCTCTGACTATGTGCCTCGAGTCTCCCCAAGTCCCTAGAAAAACAGCCACCTCCATTTTATTCAGACACCCCTGAAACTCAAAGCACACCTCAGATGTAGCAGTGAGACAGCCAGAAGGGGCACTGGCATTATTAAGTCCAAAACCGTGGGAGAAGCCTTCTTTATGCAACCAAATAAAAAAAAATATCAGAGCGGCACTCTTAGAAAAAAGTGTAAGTTCCATCGCTGGCCACTGGCTTCACACTGTGAACTGTCTGAGCAAGCTCTTTGTGCAAATCCGTTCTCAGATAGCCCTGAAACCAGTGATGAGACTGGAACGACTACAGCAGGCAAGACCTGGTAACAAGATGGTGAGCTTCAAGGAACAGCAACTTTTGAAACTGCTTGTGCTGGCTGCTCACACTGTGCCGGGGAAGGAGATTTACTCCACGTGCCTGAAGATGCAGAGTTCTGACAGCCGCATCCGTCCTCTCGCAGCATCCCGATTTTAACCGCAATTTCCACCGTCCCTCGGACAAATGCCATTCTTTAAAACCCGTTTCTGCCAAGCGCTGCAGGCCATCCACGCGCAGGGAGTTTTTTGGCGACGTTTTCGGTGTGCTGCTTCTCCTCTGCAACACCCCCGGCAACAACCCGCTCGCACTCCTCCTCCTCCTCCCGGGCATCCCCCCAAAAAAAGCAAGTTAATTTGTTCCGAGTGATGATGTTAACTCCCCCAGCCTAAGCGTGCTCCGGGAACCAAAGGGGAGCCCACATTTACTTCATTTGTGAAGCAAGCCAGATGCTAATTGCCTCCAAAGGTGAAAGGCTAGTGCCTTGGCCCTTTTATCATTGTAAATTCAGGTTCCTTCAAGACTTTGCGCTGCTGGGCCCGGAGAGCCTCCCCCCTTTAATGGTTTGGCATCAATAGGAGGGGGAGGGGAGTTCCCTTTCGCAAGAAGTTGCATCATTGAGAGACCTTATCCCCTTTCAAGATTTCGTACCGCATAAGGGATTCCCCCTCTTCAGAAATTCACATCCTGCTCGAGGAGTTTTGCTCTTTAGGGCTTCGCGCATCCCATAGAACTTTTAAGCATCTCTGGAATTTGCATTCACGGGGCAATTACTGCCTTTAAAAAACACACGCCACCACGTTATTCACCCGGTTTATTGCCAACGCGCTGGCAAGAATAGCTTTTCACAGCAAGCACAAAAGATTTCCTACCAGGACACACTTTGCTTGTAACATTTGCGGCCAGCGCACAAAATATTTACGGGACGCTAACTGCGCGCATACGAAAATAAGAATCAAAATAAAATAAACAAATAATAATAATAAAAAAAAAACGACCCGCACAGGAAAGTTACAGAGGAAAACGGGTAAGAAGGGCACGAAAGCCGAGCGCGTTCCGTTCCCTCCGTGGGGGACAGGGGCGGTGGTGAAGGCACCGCCGCTTCCCCCGAGGCTCCGCGGAGCCGCACAATGAGCGGAGCCCCGCGGAGCCCTCCGGCCTCGCCGGGATGCGGGAGAAAGGCTCGGCGCGACCCTCCGCGCCCCCCACCCCGCGCCGGCACCGGCTAGGTGGGGACCGACACCCCCCTCCCCCTTCCCCCCAACAAAAGGGGCCGACTCGTGCACGGGCGGAGCGGCGCCGGGGAATCCCCCCAACAACAGCCGCCGGTACCCCCGGGAGAGGTGGGGGGTCACCGGGCCGGGCCCGCCCCTCGCCGCCACCATTTTGGGCACGGGGGACCCGTGGCCGGCTCCGTCCCCCCGCCACCTTTGTGTGCGGACACCGGCCCGGCCGAACAATGCGGCCCGGCCCCGCTCCGCCCGCGGCCGCCCCCGCCGTGCGCCCCGCAGCCCCCGGACCCGGAGGGCTCCCGCCCCGGGACGGCCGCGCCGAAAGTTTGCGGGCGCTCCCGGGAGCGACGGGGAAGTTGCCGGGTCCGCCGGGAGCGGAGCGGAGACCCCCGCGCTGCACCGCGCCGGGACCCAGCGGCTCGCCGGGGCCACGGGAGCGCCCCCCGCCCCACGGGCGGGACCGGGGAGCGGCGTGCGGGACCCGCCGGGCGGCGGGGGAGCGGACACGGCGGGACGGGGAGCGGCGCCCGCGGGGGGCTCTCACCTCGATCTCGAAGTCGGGCAGGCGGAAGGCGGTGCGGAAGAGCGAGCAAAAGTGCGCGATGGCCGGGACTTCCCACCAGGAGCGGAGCTCGTCCAGCGCCACCGCCGCCGCCTCGGGGCCGCCGGTGCCGGCTACGCTGCCGCCGCCGCCGCCGCCGCAGCCGCCGTCCTCCTCCGGGCACATCTCCCGCGGCCGCCGTCCAGCCCGCTCGGTCGCTGCCTCCCCTCACTCCGCGGGCGGCTGCGTGTGGCGGTGCCGCCGCTCGGCGCTGCGGCTCCGCCCGCCCCCCGGCGCCACACGCCGCTCAGCGG